CAAGGTTAAAGGTTTTTTATATAAGTAAACTTCTTTAAAAACTTAGTAACTATAATATATTTTTTTTAGTATTAACTAGAATTATTAATAGATATAAGTAAACAGATAGATATAAGAACTATATCAGCAAGTTGTACTAATCATAACCTTATATTTGCTAAATATCATTACTTAATAAGTATTTAAATTTAGTATTTTTAAAATATTTAAAATAATAATTGCTTATTAAATAATAAATTTTATATTTATTAAATACTCAATTTTTAAAGATTTTATAAGTATTTAAAATTAATATTTATAATTACAATTTCAACATACCTTATATTCAATAAGTAATTGCTAAGTATTTCTATACTACTTGATAAGTATTTAGTAAGTATTTTGACAAACTTCATGATGTAAAATGTTTAAATAGAAAACTTACAAGCAGGTTTCAGATATAAACTAGTATAAAATTTTCAGATAAACTATTTAAATTAGACAATAACTAAAATTATATAAGTATTCAGTTATATACTTTTTCTATGATTGTTTTTTGTAGTTTTAATACAATTATTAACTGAATATACTATCAATAAAATTCTGGATCACAAGTACTTATAATATTTTTTTAAAAAAATCAAACCTTAGAATAAATTACTTAAATAAGGAATTAAAAATTAAATGTATAACTAATTATATTTTTATATCTGTAAAAAATAATTATAATAACTATTTTAAATTATTAATAAATTACTGTTATAAAGTATAATCTTTAAGAAAAAAAATCTTAATTTGAAAAAAAAACTAAAACAAATAACCTATACAAACAAGAATCTCTAAATAAAAAATAATATTAATCTAATTATTAGTTAATCTAAATATAAAATTGTATTATATAAGACTTACTAAATTAATAATATAAGGATATAACAATATTATAAAGTAGTTATATTGTCAACTTTCAAATAGTAGATTTAAAGTTTAAACTCTAATATTAGTGAAAATTTGAAATTATTTCTGTATTATAGTTAACTATTTTACCTGTATTATATCAGTATAACTGAAAGGTCATATATTATTTATATAATAATTATACCTTATATAAAGGAACAGAGAGGTATAGTGTTCTAGTAAAGTAGTTAGGTTGTTAACCTTCCAAGTAGTAGGTTAGGTGTTCAAATCCTATTAATGCTGAAAATTTGAATAATTACCAATATAATATTCATATTACAGCAACTGTTACTAATAATTAAGTTAGGATATCTGTAATAACAGTTGCACCAGCATAACTGGCAGATCATAGGGCATTTGTGCAATGTTAAAGTTATACAAAGGAATGCAAACTGATAAAATTAGATAGTGCAAACACTAGATAAGTCCTTGTGGCCATATAAATTCATTGAAATTAAGTAACAAGAAGTCCATTTGGGAAGACCCAAATAGAGAGATAGCTGGATCTTTGATGGTCTTACTGTAAAGACTAGTCTAGCAAAACAGATACCAAGATCTAGTACTCAGTTGTAATAATCAGATGGGCAAGAACCTCTGGATTAAAAGTTTCAGAGATATTACCAACTAGGCTGCCAAAACAAACCAAAGAAAAAGAATATCGGGTCAATCTAATATACTGATGAACTGGTTGTAGTTCTATATAGGCTATTTGAATTGAGAGTTTGGTAAAAAGGCAAAGAAAAAGGCAAGAGTATACTAAAGTACTAGGGTTATGCTGTGAAGTAAATGCTGAGATCTAAGTGAACTCTATAAGAGCAAGTAGTTTAATAGTTAAGCCCTAATTGCAAGTATTGGTTCTGCCATAGTGATACTTAGATCAGCTATAAAAATAAATACAAAAAGCTCTAAAGGTTTATCTTAAGGATAAATTAGTTCTAAAGTTGAAATGATGATCTGGGTATCTGGGTATAACCTAGTGAGTTAAATACAGATTACAGGTTTAAAGAGTTTAAAATAGAACATTTAAGCAGAAGTATTAGATACAACAATTGGTAAAAAACCTTCAGATGGACTCCTTAAATAGGTAATATAGAAAAGTTATATGTATAGCCAATTGTATGCTCTCTTGTAGTAGTTTATTGAACCACAATATCAATAATTGATTAATAAAAGTCAAAAGACCAAAAAGATCACCTTAACAAAAAAAAATATTTATATATAAAAAAATACAAACTAGTATTAATAATGTAAATCTAGAATAAGTCTCTATTGCTATGTAAATTACAGGAATTAGAAAGACAAAAACTTACTTAAAAGACCTAAATAAAGAAGTAGTCTAAACTTTTAATAGTGCTATTGTAAAAACTAAATCTATAAAACAAAACTAGAACTTGTAAAGTTAAATGAAAATATAATCTTTGAAAAAGAACTATTGTAATCAATCAAATTAATGAAATCTATTTTAAAAGAAAAAATTACATGTTAGAAAATATGTAAATCAAAAATATAATTGTATCTACTTTTTCAAACTATTTAAACTAAAAACTTAGTAAAACTTGAATTGAATATCAAAATAGTAAAGATATGTTGTAAAATAAGTATCAAAATTAAGATGAACTTTACAAGAATATAACAATTTAATAATACACTTTGATTACAAGTGTTAATCTTGATTATAACATTATCAAATCAACTATAAAAATAAGATACAAAAGATTCTAAAAGATTTAATATAAGATCAAAAGTTCTTTATATAAGTAAACTGCTTTAAAAACTTAGTAATTATAATATATTTGTACTAGTATTAACCAAAACATCTTGGTAGTTATAAATAAATAAATATAGAAACTAGAGTATTTAAATAAAAAACTTACAAACAGATTTCAAATATGACAGTTAGTATAAAACCTTCAGACAAACTACTTAAATTAGACAATAACTAAAGTTATATGAGTAGCTAGTTATACATTCTTTTCATGATTACCCTCTGTATATAGTTGTAATGCAACTATTAGCTAAATATACTATTAATAAAATTCTGAATTACAAGTACTCATCTTAATATTTAAAAAAAAAAAATTAATCAATAATATAAAAAAATTTATAAAAGTAAACAAAATACTTAAAAAACTCTTTCTGATGATCATTCAAACTAAACTTTTCAAAAAGCTGAACTACAGAAAAACAATATAGTTAATATATTAAACTTTATAAAAACTTTTCCAGAGTATTATCATACTTAGTTGAACATTGAAACAGAGTTGAAAAAGAAGTTGCAACTTTGTGGTAACAGTTTAAACATACTTTGGAACTATAGAAGAAGTAGTTGATAAAAACTAAAGTTTTTTATTAAGTAAATAACAAAATTGAATATATTAGTTTTATATAGCTATAAAACCTACAAAAAACATCTATAAAGGTCAAGAACTCACAAAAGTTACAAAGTTGGTTCACCTCTTACCTTTATTTTGCTTTGAAGAAATTTTGTAAAAATAGATGATTTAGCTTATTCCCTTCTAAAGATCGATATATAAAACTATTAAAACAGTCAGCAGTGTTTACTTCCTTAATGGGTTTATTGATGACATAAATCAGAAACAATATAGTAATACAAACATAACTATACACATGCTTCGAAATACTAAAAACCTAAAAATACTGCCTCTGGACTAATTAGTGCTCTATACTGACCCTTTATGATCAAGTCAAAGATTTTTTTTTCTATATAATTTTTTGTTAAATAATTTAAGTAAATAGAAAAATAGTAGAGTTATTTCTATTTAGTATAGTTAATAATTTTTAAAAACCCAACACAGGCATACAATTGTAATCATCTGATATTTGTGAATTACAAGTTTCACATATTTTCTTTTTCTCATTTATTTCTTTTTTCTTTATTTCTTAATTTGTATCTTTTATCATTTATCCTTATACCTCTGTTTTGTTTTTTATATAAAAAATTTTTTTTTTTGTTTTTTGTTTCTTTATGAAAAGATGTCATCAGATTGGTGATGTTCTATTGTAGGATATCAGTTAAATGAGCAGTCTATCTCTAATTGGGATAATATGACAAGTCATACTTAGGTACCATTTGGATGACTGAGTAATGCTAAACTTATATATCAGGAAATTTTTATATAATCTGTATAGTTTTAAGAATCCTAATAAAGTACTAGTGTGACTGCTAAAGTTAAAAAAAAAAATAATACTAATAAGGTTATAAAAAAAAAATTAAAATAGTATAAAGTTCACAAAGTTAAAAACTAAATTAGTTATAAAATAAAATATAAAAAACTTTAATAGATTTATTTTCAAGAATAAATTCTTAAAATTAGAAACAAAAATCTAAATTATAAAAATGTATCAATAAACATCTCTATAACCTAATAATATTAGTATAAGAAATACAAAATCATTGTTTAAAATGAAACGTCTAAGCACGAATGTTAAATACAACAATTAGTAAAGAACCTTAAGTGAACTTCTTAAATAGATAATATAAAAAAGTTATGTGTGACCAGTTATATTTTTGTTCTGCAATAGTTCATAATATGTGAATGCCATATTTCAAGAAAGTATTAATAAAGTCAATGTCCAAAAAAGTCACCTTAACACTGAAAAAAAAAACACTTCTAAAGCAATTATTAAAAATAGCTATATAAAATATTTGCCTATTTATAATAAATACCTACCATTTTATAAAAAAGAAAAAAAAAGAACGGATCATATTCGAAAACTTTTTACTCGCAAGTGAATTCTAAGCGCCAGCGAACAACTTGTATTATTACCCTTTATTTGAACATAAAAGAAATAAAGGGCGTTACCAACTTGTCAAAAACTGGTTCTAACCTTAAAGCCATCAACAGGAACTGGTGCAAGACATTTCTCGCTAGCTTAAATGGAGAACAATTACCTGAAAATTCTGATCGTTGATTGGTCAATGAGGTTTGGGGTATGCAGGAAGGAAAGGGCACCGGTTTGGGCACAATAAACGTTCATGCTTCCAATATATTAGTCACATGATCTTTAATATATTTCTCGTTTCTATTTCTATATGATCTTCGCAAATGTTTAAATATTTAATGAAACAACAATCTTCGTTATTATATGTACTTTTATCCTTGCCTTTATCAAAAAAAACTTTATTCGCATGGAGCATTATACATCTATCTTTAGGGATCGCTCTGTGGCTAAAAGGCCAGTGGTGTGATGGTTTAGGTAAACAATATTAACTAATTGCTTACGTTCAGTTCGAATGATATTGATATAAGTTCAATTTTAAATATGCCGGTCTAGCTCTCACTGGATTCGCTTATCTCGTAATCTTTGATGCGATGGGAGTACTCACTGCGTTTATTTCATCCGTACTGACGACATATGGGTCACTGAGACTTTCTTCGATACGGAACCCATTCGGGTAAGATTTTTCATTTCTTTTTAAAATGTATTATTATAATATATTAAATTCATTAGGTATTTGCATTTGAATATTCATAGTATTCAGCGATTTGAAATATTACTTGGTTTTGCGAGTGCCCTATATCTTTTATTCGTTGCTTTGTATATGCTAAAGGAAGGGTTAGAACATTTCATATTAGAATCAAATCATGAACATTCTAATGTTCATAGGTAATTATGTTCTTTGCATATATCTTTTTTTTCTATTAATTTCTAATCTCAATTTCAAATGACTAGTCACAAAATTCCAACCTTGTGGGTATTACTAGCCATGTGTGTCACATTAATATCAGCCATCGGTTGTCAAAATCATAAAGGGTTTTGTGCATGTTCGTTAATTTGTCACTCAAGGATTTTATATGTTTTAATATCTTCATGCTTACAGTATACTTTATTATAATTAATAATAGCATCGAGATCAATGTCGTTCAATGAGGGAACATATACTTATTATTTACAACCAAGTTATAAATTATCAATATTTACTAATGTCATTACAATAATTTTGTTATTGTGTGGCACTGGGGTAATAATGGTTGAACTTCTGCAGGAAAAAAAGTGAGGATCAAGTAATTTATTTTTACAGATAAAAACAAAACTTAGAAATCAAGGAATAACACCGTATTTATTTTATGTTTTGGTAAACAGCCGAAATTTAGGTTGGTTAGATGAATTAATGTCGATCGTGGAATCGGTATTAATGTTTTACATAGCAATACCTGTAGCATCGGCATTAGGAAAAATCTTGTTACAAACAACTCCTAGCGCAGCATCGAAAAGTTTAGATGATTGTTTGCGTGAGGTATTCATTGATTATTATACAATATTACGAATGAAAAATAATTTTTGTTTGATCATATTTATTTCTATTTTATTTATTTTGATTTATTTATTTATTTATTTTGATTTATTTATTTTGATTTATTTATTTATTTATTTTGATTTTGATTTATTTACTTATTTATTTATTTTGCTTTAGATTCTACTTCATCCAACAATTCTTTCATTGAATGCTACACATTTCTGGCAAAATTCGTATGGACAATTGGTTGGAACGCTTCATGTGCATGTAAATCCGGATGTTAATGAACAAACTGTATTGGCATTTGTATATTCTAGGTTAAGTCCATTATTTGTAAATAGTAATGGTGAATTGACAGTGCAGATTGTAAAGTAATCCGTTCTTTCGTTGCATCCCACTCCTTTAGATTTATGATAATTACATTGTATACTAAACATACTAAACAATAATATAAATTACATATAATAATAATTTTAATTGAAAAAAGGTTGTATGTTAATAACCAAAATTACTGGATTGTTGCTAGAACAAATGAAATCCAATAACTTAAAAAAATGAGGAATAAACCTAGATTTTGCGTGAGCTTTGTTTAAGCTCACTATCTAGTTACGATATGTGAAATTTATTGTATAATTATGCCATATAAGAATTATCCTATAACCTAACTGAAACCTAAACCTATGCTTATAAGTATTATTATAAAAAATTTACTACATACACTACATACGTAAAATAAACGACATGCATTATTTAAAAATTAAATCTTTGAATAATATTAAATATAATAATTGCCAACGAATCTTAATCAATTTACCAATAAAGTCAATAATAATCGGTTGCATACGTTGATCAGTATGTTATGAGTGACCGGATAAAATACGTATAGAGAGTAACAATATGGTATGAACGACTGATATGAGAATACCCAGTCGGTTGTATATTTTAGGGATAACGTTACATCTGATCTTAAAATTTGATTGGATGATCTACCACCAATAATATCTATTTATCGATTCAGTCCTTTGAAACGCATTAACAATTCATGGACGAACCTCAACTACCACAAATAACACAAAACTCTGGAAATACGCTTGAAACATGTGTTATAGCCACAGCGACCTTAGAAGAACATGATCTTTACACGCAATCAGTCCCTGACACAAGTGGACAGGACATTTTGTTAGCATTCTTATCAGACTCTTTACCATCCCAACGAGATTTAGTGAATAACGACTGGTGTAAGGATTACCTAAATCGACTTACTTCATTATCCTTAGAATCACTTAAACACGAACCGATACTAGTAGAAGATGAACAATCGAAAATACAAAAAGAGTTGGCAGAGCTTTCTTTTCGGGAATACAAATCGTGTATTCACGCTAATACGTGTTCAACTGAAATAAATTCCTCTCTCGATAGCTTAAATTTGCATTTATCGACATTGTCATCCACAATTCCATTATTAGAAAACTCATGCACATCATTTTTACAACAAACAAATCAGATTATTCAACAACGTGGCAAGATAAATACAATTCTGGATTGTCACAATAATTTACTTGAAATTTTAGAAATCCCACAATTAATGGATACATGTGTTCGAAATGGTCTTTATTCTGAAGCAATGGATCTTTCTGCTCATGTTGCGAGATTAGTCTCAAGGTATTCTACAATTCCGCTAATTCAACATATTGAACGAGATGTGAAACAAACAATGCAGCTCATGTTATCAAAGTTAATAACTCTCTTGAGCCAACAAATTAAACTACCAAGTTGTCTAAAAGTAATTGGTTATCTGAGACGTATGGAAGCATTTGATGAGGCTGAATTAAGACTAGTATTTTTGCTTTCCAGAGACGCATACTTGCGATCGTTAATCTGTACTATTGATAATGAAAAAAGAGACCCCGTTTATTACTTGAAAAAGTACATTGATATATTTAGAGAAAATTTTTTCGATATTGTTACACAATATCGTGCTATATTTTCTGATGAAGGCGGTGCTTTAGCATCGACTCCTATATATTCTTCATTTATGATGCCTCCTACGCCATCATCGTCTTGGATATCTTCTTCGCCATCGGACATAAATGCTAATTCTTTAGGAAGGCGTACGATGACAGCAGCAACTGCCATTTCTGATTATACGATTCATATTCTTGGACAATTAACGTCTGTACTTGCGGAATTTACTCCTTTAATTTCTGATACATCTTCTCTTTCATCCATATTAACACAACTTATGTACTGTGGAATGTCACTTGGAAGAGTTGGTATTGATTTTCGACATCTTGTTACAGGATATTTTGAGACAGCTGTTGACCGGATAATAAGAAAGATGATCACAGATGGAACACATGAATTTTGTGACGACTTGAAACGGGCTATTAAAAATGTTGACTCGCCTAGTACATGGATGATTAGTGATAAGAAATCAACAAACTTATCGGATTTACGTCCATCATTAGTTTCATCTTCATCGACACATACAACTTCTTCATTCACTCCTTTAATTACTCTATTGGATTACCCACCAATTGCATATTTAACAAATGCTTATTTGGCAGCTTTTAATTCCTTACGTTTAGTAGCACCGGTATCTTTGTTTCATCCACTTGGAAATCACATTTCACAAAGTCTTATGCTTATCACTGATTTATTACACGAATATGGCGATACTCTTGTTAAGCATAATCATGATATCACTGTGTTACAAGGATTTAACGCGACGTTTGGTCAAAGTTTTGTACCTTTTATCTCAAGATGTTTTGTTGAAGGTGTTTATGGAGGACTGATGAGTGGAGATTGTGTAAATCGTCCCGAGATTATTGATAAATATAAAATTTTGGATACTCTTAAAGACTTTTTACCCACCCCAAGGATCGCCTCCTTTAATTTAATCGACGATGACAAGTCAGGTAATGATGCACCAAAAGATAATATTGATGATGCACCAAAAGACAATACTGATGATACACCAAAAGAGAATATTGATGATGCATCAAAAGATAATATTGATGATGCACCAAAAGATAATATTGACGATGTACCAAAAGATAATATTGTCATAGACGAAACTAATAATACAAGTGAAGAATAGAAAATAGACCTTTTATAATATATAATATAATAATAAATGCTTTTGTAATATTATAGATCAATTTTTTAAAAAACATTTATGTTATTAGCAATATTTGCTAATGAAATATAATTATAATAATCTGAGGTGATTATTTTTAAAGTTAGGGTGCAATTTAAGACCAAGATAGAGGTTATATATAATATTTTAAATATAGATTATATAAGGTTTTGAAGGGTTTTGAACATTTTTACTTAGTATATTTGACTTTTGTTTTTTAGTTCTGTTTTTGAAATATAGCATTAAGGTAATAATCATTTTAGTTTGTAGTTAATAATATTTTTTGTTAATTATATTTTTAAAAAATAAAATTTTTAAAACAATTGTTAATAAAATGTATATGAGTTTGATTTTATTTTTTTAAAACATTAAAGTAAGGTTATGTTTTTAGTTTTTATTAGTATATATTATTATAGTTTGTATAACTTTTTATATTATATATTATTTATTATTTTATATATAAAAACTGTTAAGTCAAAGTATAATAATCAACTAAGTAAAAGAAAATAATAGAAAATTAGATATAAATTGTTAGTATAGTAAATCAGAATGACATTATTGTAGCAGTTTATTATTAACTTTTTTGAAAAATTTTTGGTTTCAAAAATTTTTAAGAAAAAAACAGAAAAACACAGAAACTCTGTATTGCAGATCACATATATGACATATAGAAGAAGATATAATAAATAGTAAACACAACAAAAAACAAATAAACAAATATGTAATCTTACAAATAAATAAATAAACACAGATATAAAGAATTAATTATGTATTAAATATATGTATTTAGTAAAGTTATAGAATAATATAAAGAAATATTATACAGAAAGTTCAATTAGTATTTACAAAAATTGATTGGTATAATAAACTAGAAAAATACTAAGATCTATTTAATAAGTTAAACAAAGTACAAAAAAAAAATTAAAGAGTTATAAACTAAAAATTTTAAGAAAAAATAAGAAATTAGCTAAACTTATTAGTAATAAGTTAGTATTAGTTTGTATATTTAAAACTTAATAGAATTATATAATTATTGTAAAGATATACAAATAAAAGATAACAAAAAACTAAAAAAAAACAGTATTTAACAGTTAAATGAGATAAAAGTAGATAAAAAAAATATTATTAAAACAAAAATATGATTATTTAAACTACTGTATTATAGAAAAACAAACAGTTAAACTCAAGTTAAATATGAAGAAAGAAGAAGAAAACAGTATTGAAAGAAAAAACAATCAAGCTAAGAACTTAGCAAATAATATAAAGCTAAATAAAAAATCTAATACAAATATAGAAAAGATAAATCAGAAAACAAAAAAAGAGAAAGAAATAATAAACTAGTGTAAAAAAACTTAAAAAAAGCATTAGATTATAAAAAAAATTAATATCAAAATATAAAAATATAAATAAAATAAATAACATTTATACAATATAGGATATTTTAACAGAGGTTCAACTAGTATATATAAAAAGTATCTTTAATTTTAGATTTATATAAAAAAAGTTATAGTAATAGTAAAGTTGCAACATTCTTAGTTGAATTTAAAAATAAGAAAAGAAAAGTAATACTTAATTAGGCATAATTATTGTATTTTAAAAAAGATAAAACCTATAAAATAACTTTAGATGCTTTTACAAAAGAATTATTAGAAAGAAAAATCTTATACAAAGTAATAATTAGAAATATTTTAATAATAATAATAAAAGTATTACTATTAAGATAGCTTAAAGTAATAAAAGTAAAAGTAGTCTATATATTGGTTAATATAAATAAAAATTAGCAATAAACAGCATAAGTGTATTTTAAAACAAAAGAAGATCTTAAGATGACTACAAAAAAAAAAGCATACTATTATAATACAAGACTGAAATAGAGCATTGCAAGGTCTTATAAGAGTAATAAAGTAAGAAGAAGAGAAGAATAAAAAGTAAAAGAATACTATGTTGTTATAAATAGTACACAATATAAGAGGTTTTCAAAAGACAAAAAAAAATTTAAAAAGAAAAATAATAATAAAATTAGCAGAGTGAAGATAAGATAGTTAAAAGGAAGTATACAGATAATGTTTAGTTAAAAGCAATTAATATTAAAGAACTAAAAAGTAATTTACAAGATACTTTTAACAGAATTTTAAAGAGATAGAATAAAATAAAAGAAAAACAATTAGAAAGCATGCTTCTAAATTGCTTCTAAAAGTTGTTGTAAATGTTTTTCAAAAAGAAATAATTACTTTGT